TCTTATATGATCTCTTGTTCCAAATCTATGGACCATAGATTATGATGCGCTGGTTTCGAATCAGCGATAGGCATATACTCTATTAGGAATTTGTAACATATGGAGATAGATTTACACGAGTAAGGAAGAACACCATTTATACATATCATTTCCCAGAATGTAAGGTTACTCGATTTAGAAACCAAAGTTATCGTGCGTACAGTGTTTTGTGCTAGAAAAGATTTTAGTTGGATGTAGGAGTAATGTGAAGCCATTACCAGAGTGACATATTAGAATATATATATATATTTTTTTTTTATATAAATATTTATTAATCTTTTTTTCAGATATAAAAAAGGACAAACAGTCACATATCATTGAAAATACAAAATTAGACATCCCAAGAGCTTTAACAGTCCCAATATACTTATTAATCAAGTCAACATATTGGTCAATCTACTTTAAGATTCAATAATGCTAAGACATTGACAAACTTTGAAACATAAAAAACAAGACAAAACACGAGGGTCTCTCATCATTATATAAAGAAAATTAAAATACATATATGAAATAAAGGGTTCACAATTCAAATCTCGATATCACACTTCCTACGTTTTAACCATATTTTATACACTGAACCCCTATCGCACAATCCCATAGGAGTAGGGAGGTTAGAGAGATGCCATTCAGAGAATTCTCTCAGCTTTTATTTTAGGGTATTTAACTTAAGCTTCCTGGATAAAGTTGTTCTATATACTCCATCCATATTTAGTTATGGGCAGGGGCTCTCTCTCTTTAATTGGAAGGAGATTTGTGTTTTTAATATTTCCCATGTTGGAGACTCCCTCTGCTTCCAAAATGTAACAATACATTTTTTTTTTGCTGCTATCAGAATATGAGTAGCTATATATCCATCTTTTTGCGACAATTTACGCCAATCAAGATGTAATAGGGCAATTTTGGAAGAAGAAATTAAATGAGCGCCTGTAAGATTCTCTAATATGTTATATGTTAATTCCCAAAAGGGTTTTAATTTCTGACAATTCCACCAGATATGAATATAGGAATCTTCTAAATGATTACATCGCCAACAAATAGAGGAATATGTGGGGAACATCTTATTGATTTTTTTGGGGTCCAAATGCCATTTAGTTAATATCTTATATTGTAACTCTATAAGATTGAGGCAATGTATAGATTTCTTGACTTTTGGTATGATCTTATACCAGTCTGAAATTTGCATCTCTATTTCAAGATCGCTTTTCCATTTATTTATAACGCTGTTAACTGGGTTTACTCTAGATGGATCTTCATCATCAAAAATAGGACTTTTCATTAAAGTTCTAACATTTTCTCCATATTTTAATAAGGAATCTAGTCCTATGATTTTGTTATCTTTTTTACATGTAACATTTCTTGGATAGCTTTTAATTCTGAGATAGGAGAAAACTTATTTTGGGGGAAGATGGAATTCAAGAGCTATTTCATGAAAATATTTAATGTGAGAGCCATTTAAGATATCTATTAAAGCATTTATACCATTATTTTTCCACGTAGATAAATTAATTTCTTCCATATTATATTCTAGAAGACCTATGCTACTCTTAGCTCTGATACTATTATCTTAAATCTGGAACAGAACTTTAGGATTTGATAAGTAAAATCGTTTTTCCCACCATTATTGTCTGAAATTCTGTCAGTACCCAATCTTTTAGGATCAATCCACAATATGAGAGAAAGATCCAATATTTTCAGCATAAATTTCTCGATATCATACCAAAAATCTTTAGATTCTGTTCTAAACCATTTAGAAATATGTTTAAGGATAGCAGCATCATGGTATTTTTTGATATTGGGGATGGCTAGTCCACCTTTATCTATGCTTTTCTCTAATATCTCCTGTTTTATTATTGGCTTTTTCCCTTTAGATATATAGTCAGAGAATATTCTCTGTATTTCCAAAAGATTCGACCTATATAGGTATGCAGGAATCACTACAAAGAGATAATTCCAAATTGGAAGTACACCCTGTTCCAAATTATTATGCAAATTCTATTTAATTGTCACAAAGATTAAATATTTTGTTTTTCAGTTTAACTCACGGATGTCATTGTGTCTCAGTGCTCTTTTGATCACTGAAAACAATCTCAGACACCTGTGATAATTAGATTGCCAGGTGAGCCCAATTTAAGGAAAAACTACTAAAGGAGGGTGTTCCACATTATTAAGCAGAGCACCATTTTCATGCAATATGGGGAAGAAAAATGATGTCTCTGCTGCCGAAAAGAGTGAAATAGTTTAATGCCTTGGACGAGGTAAAAACATTAGATATATCATGAAAACTTAAGCGTGATCATCGCACTATTAAGAGATTTGTGGCTGATTCAGAGCACAGTCGGGTTCGTGCAGATAAAGGCACATTGAGGAAGATTTCTCCCAGATCCATGCATCGGATCAGCTGCTAAAATACCATTACATAGCAGCAAACAGATATTTGAAGCTGCTGGTGCCTCTGGAGTCCCATGACATCAAGGTGTAGAGTCCTCCAGAGTCTTGCAACTGTGCATAAACCTTCTATTCGGCAACCACTAAACAATGCTCACAAGCAGAAATGGCTGCATTGGGCAGAAAAATACATGAAGACTAATTTTCAAACAGTCCTGTTCACTGATGAGTGCCGTGCAACACTGGATGGTCCAGATGGATGGAGTAGTGGATGGTTGTTGGACGGCCACCCTGTTCCAACAAGGCTGCGACGTCAGCAAGGCAGTGGTGGAGTCATGTTTTGGGCTGGAATCATGGGAAGAGAGCTGGTCAGCCCCTTTAGGGTCTCCGAAGGTGTAAAGATGACTGACCACTTTCTAGCCTGGTACAGAAGGAAGAACTATGCTTTCCGTAATAAAATCATCTTCATGCATGACAATGCACCATCTCATGCTGCAAAGAATACCTCTGAATCAATGGCTGCTATGGGGATAAAAGAAGAGAAAGTCATGGTGTGGCCTCCATCCTCCCCTGACCTCAATCCTATTGAGAACCGTTGGAGCATCCTCAAGCAAAAGATCTATGAGGGTGGGAGGCAGTTTACATCCAAACAGCAGCTCTTGAAGGCTATTCTGACATCTTGCAAACAAATTCAAGCAGAAACTGTCAAAAAAACTCACAAGTTTAATGGATGCAAGACTTGTGAAGCTGCTATCAAATAAGGGGCCCTATGTTAAAATGTAACGTGACCTGTTAAAATGTTTAAAAAGTTAAAATGTTGTTATAAGTTTGATTGAAATAGCTTTTGATTTCAGTAAATATGCTGCAAACACAAAAAATGACAATTTTCAGTTCTTTACAACCTATAAAGTGTTTTGAAACGTACTGTGCTTAATAATTTGGAACAGTGCATTGTAAGTTTTTTATGTTTAAACAAAATACTGTTATCATTACAAGGTTTGTTCAATAAAATTTGAATTGTACTCTTAATAGTTGATAACATGAGAATTATGCTGACTGTTTTTTACATTAATTATTTAGGTAAATGAGAAAAATATAATTTGCATAATAATTTGGAACAGGATGTATATAGGATTTTATGACGTTAATTCGTCCCAGCCATGATAGTTCCAACGACTTCCAGTCATTAAGCAATCTGGTAGTCTGATTTAACAGTGCCTCCCAATTGGCTTTGATTAAAAAAAAAATTCTGCGAAGTAAGAATTATGCCTATATACTCAATACTTTCAGTTTCCCATTTAAAAGTATATTCTCTCTTTAAAATGTCTATGAAACCCTTATCTATATTCCAGCTCATAATAGTTGATTTGGATGTATTAAGCTTGTAATTTGACATATTACCAAATATTTCTTATTCTTTCAGAAGATGATTAATAGAATTTTCAGGGTCTGTTAGTGTCATTATGACCTCATCAGCATTCAAACTTGATTTTGACTCTCTATATTCATATTAAATTCCCTTGATGTTTTTAAGGTGAGGATATATAGCCTAGGGGAAAGGGGGCAACCCTGCCTAGTCCCATTTTGAACTTTAAACCAAGAAGAAGTAATACCCGATCCTAGCTGAGTGATTTGTATAGAGAGCAGATATTGCCTGTAGAATCCATCCATTAAAGCCTCTATTGATTAATGTTTGAAACATAAAAGTCCAGCTTACTCTATCAAAGGCTTTATTTGCATCAAGCGAAAGTAAGATAGTCTGATCAGTCCTTCTGTTAGTTAAATCTATCAAGTCTACTAGTCTACGAATTAAAGATGGAATTATAGGTTTCAATCTATCTGCTATAATGGCAGAGTATATTTTTATAGCAGCATTACTGAGTGAAATAGGGTGGTAATTTTCAATCAGGGAGGGGTCTTTATTATTATTATTTTTTTATTATTCTTTATTTTTCATTATGCAGGGGTTAACAATCATTTGATAATGCCACAACAGCGTAGTCCAATGTGAAAATAGAAACAGGTTTTGAACATACATGGCATGGAAGCTTATATATGCACTTCTACAGTTTTTATACAATAAACATTTGTGTTACATAATGTGTCAGTAGGTATGTTGGTATAAGTATTAATGGAAACAAGCTAGGTAACTGACCTATTGTTAGCCATAATAGTAGATTATAACATGAGTAATGTAAAGAACATGTCAGTATTGAGTTAAGGGGAGACAGGAAATTTGCCATGCTGTGTTGACTGACAGTTCTGTTAATGATGTTACCACCAAGTACAAGATATTAGGAAACACATTTGTGAGTATGGTTATACATGAGACAGATTAGGTAAATCGGAGGGCAGCGGACATACCAGGTAAAGCAGGGCTGTACATATTTTGGTGAGAGTGCACATGTTTAGAATGGCAATTGAAGAGCAGTATTACAAGGCCATTAACAGAGCCAGTGTTCTCTCACATATAGATGTCTCAGCCTATGCCCCTGGCAGTCAGGCCAGGTCCAGATCGACCATAGAGGGGCATGAATCTTCAAGCTTGTCTCTCTGGCTCCATGCGTCTGCTTGAGCTAGCATTTCCCGCCCGGGGTCGGCAGGAGAGTCGGTGTCTCTATGGGTTCCATGTCCCGCTGCCGCCTGCCTCTCCGATGCACAAAGGTGATTTCTCTGTGGTTTCTGGGGGGTCCCTTTTTACATGACAGTGTGGGCCGCGTGTGGCCCGGTGGTGCTGGAGATGTGCTAGTTTTGCAGAGTGTTGCTTTGCACCTGTATCGGTCCACCTGGGTCTCATCCGGTGTCCATTTGTGGCACCGTTCCACTTCAGAAGGGTCTTGGACCGCTGGGCTGCAGGAGGTGGGTGTAGCTTTAAGGCTGTGCTGCATTGCCTCTCCCCAATCTTTTGTCAAAAGGCTTCGAAGAGTAAGTCCAGTTTCATTAGGGTTGCTTCTGTCGCATCATACGACGGAGCAGCAATGTCGTCAGGCCATTTTGTGCAAACGGCGTGGGAGCTGTTTGTGCGGTATTCACCCGGGTGAGTTTCGAGGGTGAGCACTATCTTGGTGGGGTCCAGAATAAACCCCACCGGACCATGGGGGAGGTACAGGGCTCTGGTAGCACCCTCGGCATGCCTTGTCCGGTACAGAAGTTCGGCCACCTCCTCCGTAGGGAGGGGTCTTTATTATTTTTTAATATGGGTATTATATTTGCCTGAAGTAGTTCAGCTCCAATTTCACTTCTATCTGAAAAGAAATTAAATAATTTTGTAAGATATTTATATAAATCGTCTTTCATGATTTTATAAAATATTCCAGGAAATCCATCAGGGCCAGGGGCTTTATTTTTTTTAAATTTTATCTATAGCTAACATCACTTCTTCTTCCGTTATTGGTTGGTTCAGATCCCTAATTTGATCCTCTGTGAGGGTAGATAATCCACATTTCTCTAAATATTCTTGGATCTCTAAATTTGTTTTAAGAGTTTTTAGATTATACATATTTTGATAGAAAGATCCAAAAGCCTCACCAATTTCTGATGGAGAATATATAGTTTCCTCTTTATTTAATATTTTGTAGATTCTTTGAGTGGCAGTGCACTTTTTTAATTTAGCCATCAAGATTGTATCTGCTTTATTTCCTTTGAGATAATAAGACTGATTTAGCTTTGTTAGAGTATCCTTAACATTGTCTAATAATCTTTGATTTATTTCTTCTCTGATGTTACCAATTCGAGAAGCGAATTCTTCAGAGGGAGTTTTCTTATTTTTCTCGTTCTCTCCTAAAAGGGCTATATACAGATCAGCTATAGTTAAGCCTTGTTGTCGTTTTGCTCTAGAGCTCATTTGAATCAGATAGCCCCTTGCCTCACATTTATTGGTACACCATATTTTTTCAAGCGAAATATCTGGGGTAATAATTTCATCAAAAAAAAGTTTTGTCATTTCTTTCATGTATTTACAGTTTTCATCTGACTCCAGGAGGGTCTCATTAAGTCTCCAGGATGTACAGGGCCTATTCTCTCCTTGAATCTTTAGGTCCCAATAGATTGCGTTATGATCAGACCATGTTATTTCAATAAAGCCAATCTTATTTATCTTTTGTAAGAATATGGCTGCTCACAGAACCAGATTTATCTGGGAATATGATTTATGTACCCTCGACCAATGTGTAAAATCTCTTTTATCTGGATGGAGATGGGAGGTGGGTGTAGCTTCAAGGCTGTGCTGCATTGCCTCTCCCCAATTTTTTGTCAAAAGGCTTCGAAGAGTAAGTCCAGTTTCATTAGGGTTGCTTCTGTAGCATCATACGACGGAGCAGCAATGTCGTCGGCCATTTTGTGCAAACGGCGTGGGAGCTGTTTGTGCGGTATTCACCCGGGTGAGTTTCGAGGTGGAGACCATTTCTTCTAACAAATCTATTAAGGCTTTGTGCCTGTTTATCTACCTCTCGTGATAATTCAGAGCCACTTGGTAACATTTTATCTATTGTGGGTTTCATCACCATATTAAAATCTCCTACCCGTATAACTGGATCCTTCCTAACTCTATCTGTTCTCTCTATTATTTTATTCAAGGTGCTTATCTGTTCTCCCGCCACAGAATATACATTTATTAAAGTCATTATTGTTTGATTTATACTGCATACAAGAATATTGCATTTTGCATCTTTATATAATATTTCCATTGCTAATGTATTTGCTGCTAGGATAGAAACTCCTCTTTTTTTTCCCATCTAACCGTGAGGCATTTATTAAGACTTTATAACCCTGAAATTTCATTTTATCCAGGTCTTTTGTTAGAAGCCAATGCTTCTCTTGGATCATACATATATCTATTTTCTCTTTCCAAAGTTGATTAGTAGAAAGTAATCTTTTATTGGGAGATTTTAATCCCTGATAAAAATGTAACCATATCGCTCATAACCTCTCCACATCTCTCTCTCCTCCTCCCAATCCATACCATCATTTGCATTGTTTAAGAGTAACAATTTTATTTTACCATCGGTAATTAACAACAATAAACATTTAACATAAAACGCCAAAACTCCATTACCCCAAGAGATATTGGCTATTGCATTGGCCTTCATTTTTCTACAGTGAGATTATATAGTGTAAAATGGTTCATGTGTTACATTACCCCTTCACTTATCAATTATAAATTAATTAGTCAACCATTTATTTTTATGCCTATTTTTAATTTTGGTTTATAGGTGTGTATAACAATATAAAACGTAAATAAACTGAGTTTTTTTGTTTTTTTTAGATATGCACAAGTTTCTTATAATGATTTTGGACCTTAGGGAGGATAAGATACTCTCCTACCCCTATGCTTCTTATCTATATCTCTTCTTCCCCTTTGCTATTTGATAGATAGCTCCTATCTCTATGTATCATATTTGTTTTTCCAGCCATTCTTTAAGTTTCCTTTGATTTTTGAAAACTAGTCTGGTGCCATCTTTATACACCAACTATATTTGATGCCTTTTATTTGCATTTTCTCTGCTTCTTTTTTAAAACTTCTCCTAGCTGAGTATTAGAATATATTTGATATAGGAACTTAAGTCCACAATCAAACCATGGTTTGGAATGGAATGGAATGGAATGTAGGAATACAAAAATGAAAAAAAAAAAAAAGCTTTCAAAGGGGTTGCCATGGACAAACCATTAGTTGTACCAAGTATATCTTTATACCTATCCCATGTACGAACAGCTAATTTTATTTGTGCCAAGGTTATCTTGGCTCTAGGCTGTAGTCAGTTAGGAAGCCACAACAAACTAGTGAGATTATATGGTTTTAATATTTTCTTTTCCCTAGATACCCATTGTGGTGGAGATCTGTTTAAAAATGCGGGAGGGTCGAGGCTAAGATTTATGCATGATAATATTTTTTAACAACAGGGACGGCCAGGCCTCCCTCATGCAACGGAGCTATTAAGATTTTCAATGCTGCTCTAGGTTTCCCCCTGGCCCAAATTAATTTTTATAGGTTTTTTTATACTGTTCTAAATAATGACATGGGAAGGGTTAGTGGTTGTAACGGACCGTTTTGCACACAAGGGGTAAAAACCGTTTAGGCGATTGTCCCCTTTTCAGAGATGCAGGCACAGCTACTGTAGAACACCAAACTCACAAACCACCAATAAGGCAATGCTCCAATCTCCCGAACTGCATACAATATAGCACTCCAAACACACGAACTGGAACCATACGAATCGCTGCTAGCAGACGAATAGGAAAAGCACCCACGCGGCTTACACTCCTAGCAATCAGTCTCTATCAGCGTTCAGTAAATCCCTCCAAAGACGAGACAAGGCTCCGTGTTGAGGGTCAAGCAGTGGTCAGGTTTAATGCGGGCTACCTGCCCAGTATTTATACAGGTCTCCCACCTGGTGGACACTCCCCTAATGGACCAAATGGGAGACTGTAACAAAGGACAGACAAGTAGACAAATAGGACACACAGTCACATTATATTCCCACAATGCATCCTGGCTTCCTCCCCTCTGCCTTGGAGATAACTGAGAAGTAATTCAATTATCTCCCAAGACAAAGGCAAATCGCAATTATGCACGTGGGGATACTACAACACGAATTACTATTAAAATACACTATGTGAGACACATAACATTAAACGCATACATTTAACATATCCCCAGATAGCTCAGGTCTGAGAGCACATTATTAAGCGAATGGCGCTCAGACCACACGAATACAGTTTAATCGCAATGGATCCAAAGTCTTTACACAGTCAGTTCTCATGCGAATGGGCTCCATGGGATTTCTATCTGGGGTATAACACATTCAAGCAAAACTACCGAACACCGGGCCATTCATGCACTTTCACCGAACAAGAAGGGAGGTCGGCGGCTTCAGCGGTGTTCGCGCAAAACTGTGTCCGCTTTCAGTTCCATGAATTAAGCGTTGAACACCGCTGTGCGTTCGCATGTTTAAAATGGCCGCAACCTCGTGTTCGTGATACGAATGGTGGCCACCCAGCATTCATCAATTAAGCTGTGGTTAACCGCAGCTTCAGGGAGACTAATTGCCGGCACACTCCAGCTCCCAGGTGGTCCAGTCATTCGTGCAGTTGTTCGGTAGATTGAATCTACCGAACACCAGACAGAAAAGAACGAATAAATCTTTTCTGCAGGTAAAAAAGATGTCTTTTAACATGGGGCCATAGTCCAAAGGCAGCAGGCGAGCAACCAGGCTTCTCCAATGCAATGTGACGAGATTGCTCTCGTCACAGTGGTAAAGTCTGAAACAAATATTGTAGCCTCATGAGTATAGACATTTTAAACGCTACTATCCATTCTGTCCAAGTAAGAAATACAGGGCTCTATTTATGTAATAGGTGTTGACACTAATTCCAAATTCTAATGTAGTTTAATCTTTAATTTGTTTCGTAAATGTAACACCTAGATATTTAAGGTTGTTTGTTCTCCATTCAAAGGGATATGTGGAGTGTAAGATGGTAAGAACCATTGATCTATCCCTATGCTAAGTGCTTGTGTTTTAGAGGTGTTCAGCAAAAAGTAAGAATGTTGTCCATATTCTAGTATGACTTTCAGGAGCGGTGGTATGGAACTAAGGGGATCAGTGATGTATAATAATATGTCGTCCGTTAATGCGCTGATTTTAATTTCTCCATTGCACAATTATATTCCCTTAATATCAGGATGTGTTCTAATTATGTGCAGTAGGGGTTCTAAGGCCAAAACCTACAATAATGGGGACAATGGGCATCCCTGGCGAGTACCGTTAGTGATTTTAAAAGCAGAGGAGAGGAAGCCCGCTTGAAGTACCTGCGCTTGTGGATCACTTTAAAGCGCAAAAATCTGGGTTAAAAACTGAGGGGTAAATTTATACGAAACCATTACTTGTTTGAG